GACCTGGGAGCCACTGTATTGCTAGAGGTGACACTTCTCCAACAATCACAGGGACCAGGAAAAAAGGCCCTTTCTGGAAACCTGTCTAAACATCGTAGGCCTTATTGCTAAGGAATGCCTTTTCCTTAGCAACAGAGATCATTGAGACCTTACTTGGGCCTAGAACATCTCCCTAGCAACCATGACCCACCTTGTTGTTAGGGATGATACTTCCCTAGCAACCTCAGTGTCCAACAATTTAGAAGGGACCATCCTTGGAGGTTTCTCTGAATAGTTTGAGCTTGGTTGCTAACGGACTTATAGCTTAGCAAGCATTGCCCCTCAAGCCCCTCAACGCTTTTTGTGGCTGTGGCAGGCCCCATTACCAAGAGAAAGAACCCCATTTTTGGTGAACTGTGCCCCCTGACTCACCCACTTTCCTCCACCAAGGGCTCCCTCTGGGTTATCCTCCCCTGTGGCCCTAGCAAGTCTTGACAGCCAGAGCGCCATTGCCTGGCCAGAATACCCTGCTTAGCATCCGGGGCTGGGACAGTAGCAGGCATGGGGACAGGGCCGGGCTGAGCTGCATGTCTGTCCCCCACCCTCATCCTCCACTCCCCCAGTCCCGAGAAGGCGGCTTCCCTGGAGTACGACTATGAGACCATCCGCAACATCGACTGCTACAGCACAGATTTCTGCGTGCGGGTGCGGGATGGCATGCGGTACTGGAACATGACAGTGCAGTGGTGGCTGGCGCAGTACATCTACAAGAACGCACCTTTCCGTTCCTATGTCCTAAGGTGAGTGCACTTTGCCCTGCCTTGGAGGACAGCCCAGAACTGCAACTCCCAGCAGCCCTCAGGGGCAGCCTGTAGCTTCTCTGGCTGGGCTTCTGCTCCTAAGGCTCATGGGAGCTGTAGTTTATTGAGCCTATTTTTGCCCAGCCCCCAGTTAAAGACATTACATGGGGGTAAATTGTTTTCCTCTCTCGGCCTTAGTTTTTACTACTGTAAAGTCAGCCTCAACTGAGTCCAGGTAGCCATACTTTCTGGAATCTTGGTCCTGTGGGTTACTGAGAAATCTTGATGAGTTACTTTACCTCTTGGTTTCCTCAACTGTTAAATGGAGATAATGCTATTTATTACCTGTTTCATAGTTACATAGGAGGATTAAACAAGATAAAGTGTGGAATGTACGTAGTGTGAGCCCTGATAGAAGAGTACTTGCTATATATTAGCTTTTATTATTTTTCATTCTTATTTTTTGAGTGCAGACTCTGTACCAGACATTGTTATCTTTACTGCCTTTAGAAGTAGGGACTCTTCCCATCCCCACGCCAAAAGTGAGGAGATTGAGCCTCAGAGAGGTTAAATAACTTACTGAGTGTCACTCAGACTTTCCCGAGGCACCAGATGAAGTGAGGATATGTCATAAGACATCTTTATAATGAAGAGTTTATGGTGACAGCTCTGGAGCTAGACTACCTGGGTTCGTGACCTGATTGATCATTTAAAGATCCACTCTGGCCTTGTGTGGAGAACGGAACAGAGGTGAGAAGGGGAATAGGAGGTAAACCTAGGAGACAAATTCGGAGGCCTTGGGGCTGTCCAGGTGAGAGGTGATGGAGTCCTGCAGTCGGGAACAGTGGTCCAGAAATAGACGAATTTGAAAGGAAGAGTCAGGGCTTGTGTGGACTGGATGTGGGGCATGCGAAAGAAGAAATGACACCCTCCTCCCTGGCGTGGGTGTCGGTGACTAAGGGCATGGGAGAGCCATCTCCTGAGAAGGGGAAGACCCGGTAGGAGTAAGTTTAGGGAACGGGTAGGATGAGGAAGCGAGACTTGGGTTTAGCTTCATTAACTCTGAGGTGACTATTAGATTTCCAGCGGAGGTTATTGGATAGGCAGTTAGTTACGTGCTTCTGGCACTTACGGGAAAGGTTGGTGTTAGAAGTGGACACTTGAGCGGCATTCGGTATAGGTGATACTTAAAGCTCTAGGCCTGAGGGTAGGTCAAAGCCCAGGGCACACCAGTGCTCAGACCAGTGGTTGTCAACTTAGGGGCATTTGTGCTGCACCTCCAGGGGACATGTGGCAATGCCTAGAGACATTTTTTGTCATGAATGGGAGATGCTACTGGCATCTTGTGCGTGGAGCCCATGGAGGATTCTAAACATTCTAGGATGCACAGGATTCACCCTTTCTGTTTGCCTTACACCCCATAGATAGGACAGTCAGCACTATTCTATCACTGGGTTATTTTTGTACTTCAAGCACCCAAGTGTGCCAGAGGGACAAGTCAGTGCTCACAGGCAGGAAAGAACCCCCTAAGGTCGCAGTCCACGGCAAAGCCGCTGCTAGATACACAATTGGAGAATGATTTCTGTGTCCTTTATGGAAGAAGGATCAGAGCCTGAGTCTGTGAGTCTTCTGGGCTAAGGAATTAGACTTCTGGGTCTATAAGGGGAGGGGACCAAACCTCTGAGTCCACAAAGGAGGCGAGGACCGTGGCTGGAGATTTCTGAGTCTACGTGAGTCAGGAATTGTGCTCCTGGATCCCTAAAGGAAGAAGAGGCCAGGAACTCGGGTTCCGGGGTCCTGAGGGAAAGTGGTGGTGGGAGGGGATGAGCTGGGTTCCTGAAAAGGAGGAACAGAGACTCCTGGTCCCTGAAGAAGGTAGGCAGACAGGCTTCCGAAATCCTGAGCTCTCAAAGGAAGGCAGGACCTGGGTTTTACAGAGAACTGAGCAGCTGGGGACTCCTGGTTTGCTGAGAGAGGCAGGGCCCATTGGCTTTCTGGGTCTTCAAGAGTGAGGAAAGACAGGCTGGGCCCGGTGGCTCACACCTGTAATCCTAGTACTTTGGGAGGCCGAAGCAGGAGGATTGCTTGAGCTCAGTTCAAGACCAGCCTGAGCAAGAGCAAGATCCCATCTCTAATACAAATAGAAAGAAATTATTAGCCAAACAACTAAAAACAGAAAAAATTAGCTGGGCATGGTGGCACATGCCTGTAGTCCCAGCTACCCGGGAGGCTGAGGCAGGAGGATCGCTTGAGCCCAGGAGTTTGAGGTTGCTGTGAGCTAGGCTGACGCCCAGGCAACAGAGTGACACTCAGTCTGGAAAAAAAAAAAAAAAAAGTGAGGAAAAATGGCTCTGGGCCTTGAGGGGAGAGGAACAACTCCTGGGCCCCAGAATAAGGGAGGACCACACACCAGGGACTTTCTGGATGTTCACAGGCCAGCGGTTCTCAAACATTAGTGTGCAGGACTGTTACATGGAAGGTTTCCTGTGGGCCCTACCCCCAGGGTTGAAGTGGGGACCAAGAATTCATAGTTCCCACAAGTCTGCAGGTGATGCTGATGCGGGACCCAGGGCCATACTTTGAGAACCACAGGGCTAAGGAATTGGACCTCTTGACCCTGAGGCAATGGAACATAAAATGTTAGATCTTTTTTTTTTTCTTTCCTGAGACAGAGTCTCACTCTATTGCCCAGACTAGAGTGCAGTGGCGTCAGCCTAGCTCTCAGCAACCTCAAACTCCTTGGCTGAAGTGATCCTCCTGCCTCAGCCTCCTGAGTAGCGGGGACTACAGGTGCACACCACCGCGCCTGGCCAAGATGTTAGATCTTTAAAGGAGAGGGCATTGGTTAGGATTGCTGGGGTCTGGATGCGAGTTCGGACCTGCTGGGTCCCTGAAGGAAACAGAGGCCAAAAGCCTCCTTTGCTTTCTGGAGCTAGGAAAGAGGACCCCTGGGTGCGAGGGAGGAGGGGTGGGGGCAGTGGGGACTTGTACTCCGGGATCCTGACTCCCAGCCCCCTCTCCCAGGAGCGCCTGGACCATGCTGCTGAGCGCCTACTGGCACGGCCTCCACCCCGGCTACTACCTGAGCTTCCTGACCATCCCGCTGTGCCTGGCCGCGGAGGGCCGGTTGGAGTCAGCCCTGCGGGGGCGGCTGAGCCCTGGGGGCCAGAAGGCCTGGGACTGGGTGCACTGGTTCCTGAAGATGCGCGCCTATGACTACATGTGCATGGGCTTTGTGCTCCTGTCCATGGGTGACACTCTTCGGTACTGGGCCTCCATCTACTTCTGCATCCACCTCCTGGCTCTGGCAGTCCTGGGGCTGGGGCTGGCTTTGGGCGGGGGCAGCCCCAGCCGGCGGAAGACAGCGTCCCAGGCCACCAGCCTTGCCCCAGAAAAGCTCCGGGAGGAGTAAGCTGCCACCAGGCTCCCTCTGCCAGCTTTTCCAGCCACCAAGCTTTTGCCTGGGAATTCTGTGAACCAGGCTGCTGTGTCCTTTCCCAGAAAGAGTCCTTAATCTGGTTCAGGTCCTGGAGAGGATTCCCTTTCGTCAGCTAAATCCCCTGTCTCCTGGCCCTGTGCCCTGGGACCTCTGGCAGCCGCTTTCCCTCCTATAAAATCAAGGTATTGTCCAGACAGGAGTCTTGCCCTGTCCCTGCTCCAGCTTCCGGGTGTCCAGAGAGCACTGCACTTGCCCAGAGCAGCAGGGACTGACGGACAATGTGGTTTCTTGGGCAAATTCCCTTTCTTTGGATCCACAGTCCAAAGAAGGGAACCTCTTTCTTGTGTATTTCACTCTACTTTTAACTCATCAAACCAGTATTTCAGGCTGGGAAAGGAACATAACCTTCCCATTTCATAAAGGGGAAACTGAGGTACAGATGAGCAGGCCGCTGCTGTCTGAGCCACCTCAGGGCCCCAGTGTTCCTGTCACCCTCTGTCATCCCTTGGCCTAAGGCAGGTCAGAATGTGTAAATCTTTCCCAATAAAGTGTTGCACAAGGACACCTGTGTCTGTGGGTGAGAAGCCAACGGGAGGCACTTAGGCCACTGAGTCCCATTGGGATGTGCTCCTGCCCCAGCCCGGGAGCCACACTGGCTCAGGACACCACCTGGACTCCAGTTCCCAGGAGACGTTTTCCGGCAACCGCCCTGACAATTTATGGGACGTGTACCTTATTCTCTCCAGGCCACCTGGTGGCCAGGTACAGACCTGCCCCAGGCCCCTCCCTTACCTGGGGCAGGCCCTGCCCAGGCGGCCATCAGAGACAGAGCCGCGCCTGGGGCCATGGAAGAAAGCCAGACCTGGGAAGCCTGGGACTCCTCTGGGGGGTGGCCAGCCCCCCGGGAGGCCAGAGGAGGTGGGGGAACAGGGAAGTTCAGACCCAGCCAACCTTCAGGCTGCGTGGAAGCCCTGGGGAGGAGAGGGGAGGCCTGGACGCCCAGCTCTGAGGGCTGAAGGGGGCAGGGTTTTGTTGCTGAGTTTACGGAAAAGGGAACTAGGAGCCGGGACTCTGGGTCTGAGGAGGAGCATGGAGAACCAGACTCTAGCCTGAGAGGAGAGGCCTGGGGGCTAGGCCCTGGGTGTCTCAGGAATGGGAGGGGCTGGGTTCCCAAACTCCTCAATAAGAGAGAAAAGGAAGTTAAATCCTAGACTTTTCCGCCCTGGTGTAGGAGGGCCCTCGAAGGTCCACACTTGGGTCCTTGGGGAGGGGGTCTAGGGGTCTGGACTCCTGGGTCCAGGGGAAGTAGAGGCTGGGAATTCTTAACTCCTGGGCCTGATAGAAGAGGAGCAGGGGGCCCAGACGCCTGCTTTGAGGTAGGAAGGCCTGGGGGCTGGACTCCTGGGTGTTCCCAGCCCTCTGCCTTCCTGCCAGGCCCATCGCTGTCCTCCGTTCTCAACGAGCTCCCCAGTGCAGCTACCCTTCGGTACCGAGGCCCCGGGGTGCTGCCTTGGGGGGTGCTGGAGGAGGAGGAGGAGGATGGAGGAAGGAGCATGCAGGCCTTCACAGAAGCCGCCCAAAAGGAGCTGCAAGAACCTCACTCTTCCCGGGAACTGCCCTGGCCCATGCAGGCCAGACGGGCACACAGGTGAGGACCCAACCGCCCTCTGGCCCTCGCTACCCTGAGCCGTGGGCCATCTCTCCCAGGCCTCGCGCCCTGGTCTGCTTCTCCCTCTGTCCCCTCTCAGAGCTGCCTCTCTTGGTTTCTTTTTTCCTCTGTTGCTTGTCCCTACATCTCTCCCTTCAAGTGAGTCTTGTCTTTCTGTGGCTCTGGGACTCTCTCCTCTCCCTCCAAGCCTGTCTCTGCCTCTCACTGTTTCCAAGTGTGTTTGAAATCTGTTATTATTTCCTTTCTGCTTTGCCTTTATCTCTGCTTCCTCCTCTTCAAACCTGTCTCTCTTTTACTTCTTTCTTTCCTCTCCCCTTCCTCATACTTTGTAGGCCCAGTGAAGAATGAAAGTGCGGGTGCCCTCCTTCAGAACTGATTATGCATTTGAAGATGGCAACAGCAGAGCCTTAATCCCAGCGCCAGGCCCTTCTGAGAGTGAGGCCCTGGGTGGCGGCTCTGGCAGTCCCTGAATCTGGCCCCGGGCTTCCTTCCTTTCTCCCTCCTTCCCTCGATTTCTTTTTCCGCTTTTTCTTTTTTACTTTGTCAGGATATTTGCCTATAGAAAGTGCATAAAACACTACGTACAGATTAAAAAAAAGAATACAATCTGGCCAGGCGAGGTGGCTCACGCCTGTAATCCTAGCACTCTGGGAGGCCGAGGTGGGTGGATTGCTCGAGGTCAGGAGTTCGAAACCAGCCTGAAGAAGAGTGAGACCCCGTCTCTACTATAAATAGAAAGAAATTAATTGGCCAACTAATATATATAGAAAAAATTAGCCGGGCATGGTGGTGCATGCCTGTAGTCCCAGCTACTCGGGACAGGAGGATAGCTTGAATCCAGGAGATTGAGGTTGCTGTGAGCTAGGCTGACGCCAGGGCACTCACTCTAGCCTGGGCAACAAAGCAAGACTCTGTCTCAAAAAAAAAAAAAGCAACAACAAATTTTAAAACGATACAGCATAACAGCCATTTGCATATCATTTACATTTCATATAATCATGTGTATAGATTATATGCAAATACTCGGCCATTTTATATAAGGGATTTGGGCATCCACGGATTTTAGTATCCGCAGGGAGTCCTGGAACCAATGCCCCACAGATATCAAGGATATTTATAGAGTGAGAGCCCAGGTAAACTGCAGCCAGGACAAGCAAGGGACACAGCGAGGCAGCACCCCACCTGCCCCTCCTCTGAGGTCCCCTTTCTCCCTCAAAGGTAGCCCCTTTGCTGAATGTGAGATTGCTTCCTAGCTTTTCTGATAGCATTGCCACCTGTGTGTGCATTCCTCAAGAGCAATGTGTCACTGTGCTTGTTCTGGAATTGGTGTAAATAGAATCATGCAGTCTTTATTCTTTTGTGTCCTGCGTAGCATTAGGTTTATTTCTGTTTTATTGCTACAGAGTATTCTATGTTATGAATAGACCAGTTTATTTCTCATTCTGCGGTTGAGTTGTTTCTCCATTTGGGTGGTTCCCAGCTTGGGGCTGCTAAGCCCTTCATTTTGTCTCTGACTCTGTCTCCCCCACCCCCCAGGCAGCGCCACGCCAGGGACCAAGTGGCCTATGGCTCGGGATCTAGAGCAGCCCAATGGGCCCAGGTGCTTCAGAGATCCAAGGAGAAGATGAGGGGAGGCCTGCGCACCCTGCAGCCCTGGGGATGGACCCTGAAGAAGATCGGGGGTGCGGTGGGGTTGGGGCCCGTGCCTTGGGGTGGGCCTGAGAGGGAGGAGGGTTTGGGGGTCTGACTCCTAGGTCTGAGGAGGGGCTGGGGGTCAGGACCCCTGGGTCTGTGGTCAGGAGTCCCCCGGCCGGGGAGGGCGGGGCTGGGGGCCACACTCGGGAAGGAGCCGAGGCCTCTCTCTCTGCTGCCCCCTGCAGGCCAGTTTGGCGCCGGCACCGAGTCCTACTTCTCCCTGCTGCGCTTCCTGCTCCTTCTCAACGTGCTGGCTTCTGTGCTTACGGCCTGCATGATGCTGCTGCCCACCTGGTTGGAAGGGGCTCCCCCAGGCCCTCCCGATCCTGGAACCTCTTCGCCCTGCGGCTCCTATAACCCCTACCAACAGGGCCTGGTCACCTTCCCCACCCAGCTCTTCAACTTGCTCTCGGGAGAAGTAGGTCTCTGGTTCCCCGGGAGATCCCCGTCCCCCCACACCCCGCCCCCGACTTTGCGCCCTGCTGCCCTTACTGACCTGCACCTGAACCCGGCCTCCTGCCAGGGCCACGGTGACCCCTGCTCCGCCTTTCCTTCCTCAGGGTTACTTAGAATGGTCCCCTCTCTTCTATGGCTTCTACCCGCCCCGCCCACGCCTGGCAGTCACCTACCTGTGCTCAGTCTTTGCCAGTGGTCTCATCTCCCTCCTGCTCATCCTGCATCGGTCAGTGACACCCCACACCCCCGACCCCCTGGATGGGGTGGGGGTGGAGAGAGTGGTAGTGGTAGAAGCCCCTTCCCCGAGAATCTTGAGTCTTGCTCTATGGCCCTTTCCTCCGTTTGAATTGAAATCCATTTTTAAAATCCTTGCTGAAGGCCAGGGATACAAGACGGGAAGTTTTTCTCACTCCTGTAGCTTAGAGTCTAGCGGGAAACGTAAGATATTAAGCAAGCACGCATGCATGCACATTCGTTGCACGTTTTCTTTCTGATGGGGAGAAAGTGCTACATAGGAAACAAATAGGGCTGATTCTTTCATTCATGTGACATAATTATTGAGCACCTACTGTGTGCTGGGCATTGTTCTAAGCAGTTGGGATAAGGCAGTGGGCAAAACAGATGGGAAAAACAGACAACAAAACAGAATCTTGTCTCGGTGGTGCTTGCAGGCGATAATTCTAAGCTGCTGGGGGCTTAGGGGCTCTGGGTGAGGGAGGCTGGCAGAGATGCCTGGGGCAGGCTGCTCTATTAACAGGTGGTCCAGGAAGCTCACTGAGAACATGATATTTAAGCAAAGACATTGGGAAGGTGAGAAGTTCAGCCAAGCAAATACCTGGGAAAAGCTCATTCCCCAGAGTACTGGGGTACCCATTGGAGGAGGCAGAGGGTACAGCCAGAGCAAAGCAGGAGCAAGCCTGGTGTGTTTGAGGGAGCATAAGAAAGCTTGTGGGGATGGAGTGGAGGGGGAAAGGAGAGGGAGAGAGCAGTAGGAAATGGAAAATGGGGCCACATCATGTAAGGCCTTGTCAGCCAATGTAAAGAATTTGGCTTCGGCCGGGCGCTGTGGCTCACGCCTGTAATCCTAGCTCTTGGGAGGCCGAGGCGGGCGGATTGCTCAAGGTCAGGAGTTCGAAACCAGCCTGAGCAAGAGCAAGACCCCGTCTCTACTATAAATAGAAAGAAATTAATTGGCCAACTGATATATATATAAAAAAAAATTAGCCGGGCATGGTGGCGCATGCCTGTAGTCCCAGCTACCCGGGAGGCTGAGGCAGAAGGATCACTCGAGCCCAGGAGTTTGAGGTTGCTGTGAGCTAGGCTGACGCCAGGGCACTCACTCTAGCCTGGGCAACAAAGCGAGACTCTGTCTCAAAAAAAAAAAAAAAAGAATTTGGCTTCTTTCTGAGATGGGAGCCATTGCAGGTTCTTGAACAAAAGATCACCCTGACCTGATTTAGGTTATAAAAGGATCCCTCTATGGGTTTGAGGAAGAGAGAAGGGGAGGGAAAAGAGATAGTGAAGAAGAGGAGGGAGAGAAGAAACGAGAGGGAGGGAGGAAATGAATCGAAGGCATGAGCAAGGCAGTAGCAGGTAGAATAGTTAGGAGGCTATTGCAGTAATTCAGGTGAGAGACTACGGTGGTTTGGACTGGGTGATAGAATCAAACAGGGAACAAGTGGTCAATTTTGGATTTAGTTTTAATTTTAAAAAGTGTCACACACATCCAGAAGAAGTATACAAATAAAAGGGTAGAGCTTGGTACATTCACACCCATATCAAGAATTAGAACACTACTACTACTCTCTCTCCCTCTCTCTCAAAGCTTACAAATGCAGGTGTTGGGCTGGATTAGCGCCATGTGCTATAGTTTGCCAACCCCTGTGATATGGAATAATGAGTGGGGACCTTCATTAGATGGAGTAGTCAGTGAAGGCCCCTCTGAGTAGGGAACCTATAGATGGAGACCAGAAAGATGAGAAGGAGCCAGGCAGTTGAACAGCCAGGACACCAGTATTCCAGGCAGAGGGAACCGCAAGTGGCCCTGTGGTGGAAAAGAGGTTTGGGGTGTTCTGAGAAATAAAAGGCCAGTATGAGTAGAAGGGGCATGATTTGAGCTTCAAGGAGTAGGCAGGCCCTGGCTGGTTATGCCAGCAAGAAGCGTAGACTTTAAGAGCAGGGAGAAGCTGTAGAATAGACTTTAAACAGGAGCATACCATGTTATCTGCACCACAAGGCCACAAGGCGGCCCCATTGGCTCAAGAACAGAGAATAGACTCTAAGAGGGCACAGGAAGTAAGTAAGGAGACACAGGAGTCTTCTGTAGTTATTGTCTTGAGCAATGATGGGGACTTAGGGCCAGGGTGGTGAGGGTGGACATGGTCTCTTTGTCCAGTTCTTACTGTTTCTGCCCCTTTCTCTGGTCCTGTGTCCCTTCCCTGGGTTTTTGCCCCCCTCTTTGGGTCTCTGTCTCCTTCCTGGGTCTCTGTCCTCCTCTTTCTGGGTCTTTCTCCCTTGACCACCTTCTCTGAATATCTGTCCTTCACTCTGACTCTTTGACCCCCCCCCTTCTAGAATTATTTTCTCCTTTCTCACTGAGCCTTTGTCTCTCCTTCTCTGAATCTCCTTTTGGGGTCTCTGTGTCTCCCCAGGGCCTTGTCCCTGTCACTCTGGGTTCCTACCCCCTTCTCTCTGGAGCTCTGTCCCCACCTCCTAGGTTTCTGTTTGGGACATCCGCTCTATCCGTCTGTCTGTGAATCTCTCCTGGCCTTTGCCCCCAATGACTGTGCGTCACCGCCTCTTTGAATCCTCCATCAGGTGGCGGCTCACCAAATGCCAAAAGTCTTAGGGCTCATTTTCCTCCTGTGTCCATAAGAGGGGTGTCTCCCGCCTCCCCGCTCATGGCTGTCCTTCCGTACACCCAGTCTCCCGGGTCTCCCCTCTCTCAGCTCAGTGTCCGGGCTGAAGCAGACACTGTTGGCCGAGTCGGGGGCTCTGACCAGCTACAGCCACCGGGTGTTCTCAGCCTGGGACTTTGGCCTCTGCGGGGACAACCACGTGCGACTGCGCCAGCGCATCCTCCTGTATGAGCTGCAGGTCCGCTTGTGGGGCGGGGGCTACAGCTGGACAGGGGCCAGACAGGACCAGGCTGGGATACCACACAGGGCCTGGCTCAGCGGCCGGGATTCGGGACAGACGCTGGGCGGAGCTTCCTCCTAGGGGAGGCGGATGTTGGGGAATGGGAGGGTCGAGAAGAGGCCGTAATAGGGATGCCTGGGGTCCAAGGACGCAGGAAAAAGTAAGCAGCAAGAAAGGGGCGGGGCCTAAGGCACCTTAGTTCAAAGTTAAGCGGTGGGCGTGGCCACAAAGGAGCGGGACTTGGTGTAGCCCAGCTGGAACTCCAGGCCTCGCGCCAAGTAGAGCTGGGTCAAGGGACCTGGCTGGAAAGGGGCGGGTCTTGGAATGCTGGGCGGAGCCACGGAGGTGGAGTGCTGGAATTGGCCGGGGAGGGGGTGGGGCTTGTAGCCGTGGGCGTGGCGGCAAGGGGGCCGGGTCTCTCCAGGGCCCTGCAGAGCGTGGAACAGGCACTGCAGAGGTCGTTAGCGGGTGGAGCGAGTGCTACGTCGGTTTAAGTTGAGGAGGAGCTCTGGAGGGGCCCGGGCCTCGAGGAATGGAGCCCCAGTGGACATCTCTCCCCGCTTCAGGTGGAGCTGGAGGAAGCAGTGGTGCGGCGCCGGGCTGCGGGGCGGACGCTGGCCCAGCACGTCAGGGTTTGGTTGGTGCGGGTGCTGGTCAACCTGCTGGTGGTCGCGCTCCTGGGGGCAGCCTTCTATGGCATCTACTGGGCCACGGGGTACACCGTGGAGCTGCAGGTGCGGAGGGTCTTGGGAGAGGAGGGTCTGGGGGCCTTGGAAACTACATTTCCAAGGGGGGAGGGAGGAGATGGAAGTCTAGGATTCCTAGGATGCCAGAGAGGAAGTGTGGGAAGTATGTTAGACTCCGGACTTCGGGCTCCTGCCTCCAGGATCCCAGAGCCTCTTCTCTTGGTTCATCCTCCCTCCCAGGGGACGCCCTTTGTCCAGCAGATGCCACTGTTACAGCTGGTGATGAATTACCTTCCGTCCATCTTCATCTCCGGGGTCAACTTCGTGCTGCCGCCCGTGTTCGCCCTCATTGCCCCACTGGAGGGCTACACTCGGAGCCGCCAGATCGTTTTTATCCTGCTCAGGTTCCAGCCTCACGGGGTGGGCTGGGGTTGATGCGGGGTGGGGAGGGAGGAGTCGCCCCAGGAACGTTGGTTCTGGTAAATAAGACGTGGAAATCCCGCGGAAATGGGACCTAGGAAGATCTGGATTCAAATCCTGACTCTGTCACTGAGCCTCAGTTTCTTCGTCTGTGAAATGTGCAGAATCGTGAGTGCGTTCCACTGAGGAGGGAACTGACAAGTGGTGGGTACTGGTCAGTGCTGATTCTCTTCCCTCGCCTTCCCCTTGCCAGGACTGTGTTTCTCCGCCTCGCCTCCCTGGTGGTCCTGCTCTTCTCTCTCTGGAATCAGATCACTTGTGGGGGCGACGCGGAGGCTGAGGAGTGCAAAACTTGTGGCTACAATTACAAAGAGCTTCCGGTGAGTGGGAGGGGATGGAACTCCGAGTTCTTAGGTGGGACGATATGGGGCTCCAAATCCTGTGTCTCTGATGGGAAGATGTGCCTGTGTGGGTCCAGACGCCTGGTTTAGGAGGAAGGAGGAGCTAGGAGTGTTGGAATACTCTCCTAGAGGTATGAATGCTTGAAAAAACAAGGGCCCTCAGAAGAAGTGTTGATGGAATTCCATAGGCTTGTGAATTGGAGACTCGGACGCTTGAACCTCCAGGTTCCTGGGTCCTGAGGTCTTTCTAACCTTCTTCTTCCTTCTTCAGTGCTGGGAGACTCGGCTTGGCCAGGAGATGTACAAGCTTCTGCTTTTTGATCTGCTGACTAGCTTGGCAGTCATGTTACTTATCCAGTTTCCTCGAAAGTGAGAGCCCCGCCCCTCGACGTGGCCCCGCCCCTCCTGGAACAGGCCCCACCCTTCCAGCCATTCTCTTCCTTTTACCCCGACCCTTTTTGCTACTGCAGCCCCTGATTGCTCCCTTTCCTTGCCCTAAGTCTGCGGACTCCGCCTCCAACCCGTTTTAGGTGGTTACTTCCCTCTGACCCCTCCCCTGCCGCAGGCATCCTCCAGTTCTCAGGCCCCGCTCTCTGGACGCACCCCCTCCACCTCCACGTGGAATCTTGAAAGCCCCGCCCCGTCTCAGATAGTCTCCCTTCCGATTGGTGGGCGGGACAAGGCGGGGAAACTGCCGGCTCGCCCCTGACTCGGCCCGGCTCCGCCCTTCAGGCTTCTGTGTGGTCTCTGTCCTGGGGCGCTGGGTCGTCTGGCGGGGACCCTGGAGTTCCAGGTACCCGACGAGGTGCTGGGGCTCATCTACTCACAGACAGTGGTCTGGGTGGGCAGTTTCTTCTGCCCTTTACTGCCCCTGCTCAACACAGCCAAGTTCCTGCTGCTTTTCTTCTTGAAGAAGGTGAGGGATAGGGAGGACCCTTGGTCTGAAGCAGGAGGTACTGGGGACTGGACTCCTAGATCGTGGGGAAGGAGGATGCTGGGGGCCCAGACTGCTAGGTCCTAAGAAAGGAGGGGACTGGAGGTCAGACTTCTGAATCTGGGAGAAGGGTTCTAGGTTATCTCAACTTTTAGATCTGAGGGATGGGGGACTTAGTAGTCTCCTGGGTCCTGAATGAGGAGGGGGCCCAGACTCCTGGATCGGGAAAAAGGAGAGGCTCAGATTCTTTTGTCTCAGTTCCCCTTTTTCCTTGCCTTCCCCCACCAGCTCACCCTCTTCTCCATCTGCTCCCCGGCCTCCCGCACCTTCCGGGCCTCCACAGTGAATTTCTTTTTCCCCTTGGTCCTTCTTTTGGGTCTGGCCGTCTCTGCGGTTCCCGTGCTTTATAGCATCTTCCTGTAAGTGTGAGCGGCTCCTGCCTCTCTCCCTCCCTCTGCCCTCCTTCGGTGTTAAGATTCCTGGCCTTCCTTGAGCTCAGCCTGTCTCTGACTTCAGGATCCCACCTTCTAAGCCGTGTGGTCCATTCCGGGGACAGCCATCCATCTGGGCCCAGATCCCAGAGTCTATTTCCAGCCTCCCTCAGACCGTCCAGAACTTTCTCTTCTTCCTGGGAACCCAGGCTTTTGCTGTGCCTCTTCTGCTGATCTCCAGGTGAGGTAGCCCAAACTTCCGGTGTGAGTTTTAATGTATGTGACCTGGGGTCCCCACCACCTGTGTCCAAGCGAGGAGGGGACTTGGGGCCTGATCTCCTGGGTCTCAGAGAGGAGGACGGCTGGGGCTCTGGAGTGCTAGGTCCAAAGGAGGAAGAGGGCGGGAATTAGGACTCCTGAATCTGAAGGAGGGAGGAGTGTGCTGGGGTACTGAACTCCTTGAGTCTGAAGGAGGGGTCTTAGGGGTCCTGGTTTCTAAGGAGCCATACCTTGAAGATAACTGAAGAGTATTTCAGAGTTGCCTCCATTCCTTCTCCTCTAGCATCCTGATGGCGTACACTGTGGCTCTGGCCAACTCCTATGGACGCCTCATTTCTGAGCTCAGACGTCAGATAGAGACGGTGAGCCAGGCCGGGTCCCTGAAAAGAGTCCCGGTGGAGGTGGAAAGGGGCACGGGGGGAAGAGAAGGTCTTTCTCACCTCCACCTCTCTTTACCTCAGGAGGCACAGAATAAAGTTTTCCTGGCACAGCGTGCTGTGGCGCTGAGCTCGACCAACGGGGCTCTTTGACCTCCCCAGCCTGGCTCAGGATCGCGTTCCACTTTCAGACCCCAGACCTGCCTCCAGACCCTTTGTAACCCTCGGTTACTTCATGCGTAAACTAGAATTGGAGAAGGCCCCTCGCCGCCCAGTCCCCGACTCTAGTGAACCCCTTTCTTGTATCAATAAACACAGCCGAGGTCGCCGAGCGCTCTTTGAAATCTGCGTCCTGAAGGCGGGGGCAGGGCGTCAGCAGGGCACGAGCCAGTCAAACGCGTCCGCAAGTGCGTCGGCACGGAGCTGGAGCGCGCTTCCGCGAGAAGACTTGACGGGCGTGCCAGCCAATCGGCAGCCGCATCTGGTAGCGTCAGGGGCAGGACCACTTGTGATTGCCTCAGAACTCTGATGAGAGGCGGTCGCTAGGCGACACCTCGCGCAGCACGTCCGGGGTTCGCGCATTTCAGCCAATCGCCTGTCGCTATAGACCCAGGGGGGCGTGCCACTGGTCGGGGGCCAATCTGTGGCCGAGGCAGAGAAAACGCGGAGGGAGCATCCTTTCGCCAATCGGAAGTGCTAGGAGGCGGGTGTGCCAGTCCGTGGACAGCTACGGCGCCATGAATATTTTGCCCAAGAAAAGTTGGCATGTCCGGAACAAGGACAATGTCGCCCGCGTGCGGCGTGATGAGGCCCAGGCCCGGGAGGAGGAGAAGGAGCGTGAGCGGAGGAAGCTGCTCGCTCAGCAAGAGGTAAGCTGCGTGTCCGGCCGGGAGGAGCTCCCGAGCCAAGCGCGCAGGCGCCACGGTCAGAAATCGGGAGTGGAGTCGTGAGCAGGCACAGTGCGCCCCGTGTGGTGCTAGGTGCTGACCCTATTTTGGGGGACGTTTGTTTGCTAGCCCTGTGCCCACCTCCAGGAAACTTCCCTTGATCTCACCCTTGCCCTGATTTCCCCCAGTGATGTACTTCAAGTGATCAGAGCAGTGCTTGGCACAGAGGAGCAGCTTAATATTCGTAAATTAATAAATTGACCCTTGGACGGTTCAAGGCAATGATCACTTTTTAGTTTGCTTGCAAAATCTATTTATTGAGCACCTACTATATGCTCACTCCATGCAGAGCGCCTGACTTGCTAAATCGCTCATAAAGACCATTCGTTCTTGGAGGCGCGCTGTCATCTCCATTGCACAGAGAAGTGAGAAAGGGCATGGGAGAAAATCAGTGGGACAAGCCAAGTTCCACACTATTGGGGGAGCTCTTTCCCTGCACTGACCCCCAGAAACACACAAAGACCAGAGAATTTCTGCCTAGCGCCTTAATCTGGTTAAAACCTTTCAGTCCCTTAGTCTGATCCTCAACAGTGGCTGAGAGGTAGTCTAGGCTTTTTTTTTTTTTTTTTTGAGACGCGAGTCTCACTTTGTTGCTCAGGCTAGAGTGAGTGCTGTGGCGTCAGCCTAGCTCACAGTAATCTCAATCTCCTGGGCTCAAGCAATCCTCCTGCCTCAGCCTCCCGAGTAGCTGGGACTACAGGCGTGCATCACCATGCCCAGCTAATTTTTTGTATATATATATATATATATATATATATATATTTTTTTTTTAGTTGGTCAATTGATTTCTTTCTATTTTTAGTAGAGACGGGTCTCACTCAGGCTGGTTTCAAACTCCTGACCTTGAGCAATCTGCCTGCCTCAGCCTCCCAGAGTGTTAGGATTACAGGCGTGAGCCACCGCGCCCGGCTTAGTCTAGGCTTTTAAAATTCACTTTTACCAGTAGAAATTGCTAATCGACTTGGGGTGGTGACTTGGGAGCCGTGCCTGGAATCCAGATGCTTGCTTGGTCCAATGCATAATTTAACTGCCTTTACAGCTGTCTTACTTGTGTCACTTGAGGTTGGGATCCCCTCTGGTTTATGCCAGTGATCTCCCAACCAGCCTTGATGACCCACTGTTTACTATTTGAAAGGCAGTTTACAAAACCCAGGTGGTGCTTCATGTGCCCATTCTCATCTCAGGTTAGGACAGGTGACACTTCTGGGATCCCACAGTGCCCATGCTCCCATTCTTACAGCCCCCAGCACCATGGGCTGCCATTGTCTGTGGTCAGCACCAGACTCACAGTTCCTTTTTTTTTTTTTTTTTTTGAGACCAGAGTCTTGCTTTGTGCCCAGGCTAGAGTGAGTGCCATGGCATCAGCCTAGCTCACAGCAACCTCAAACTCCGGCTCAGTGATCCTCCTGCCTCAGCCTCCCAGTACTGGTACTACAGACATGTGCTACCATGCCCAGCAATTTTTTTTTCTATGTCTATTAGTTGGCCAATTAATGTCTTTCTATTATAGTAGAGATGGGTCGTGCCTCTTGCTCAGGCTGGTTTCGAACTCCTGACCTCAAGCAATCCGCCCGCCTTGGCCTCCCAGAGTGCTAGGATTACAGGCGAGAGACATCTCGCCCAGCCAACTCACAGTTCCTTGATTCACCTCTAGGTTCTGTATGTCCTGACTATAATTTCCATTCCCCTCAGGCCCGCACAGAATTCCTACGGAAGAAAGCCAGACATCAGAACTCGCTGCCTGAGCTCGAAGCAGGAGCCCAAGTTCTGGCCCTGTGGACCTGTTTCGGGAGCTGCTGGAGGAAGGGAAAGGGTGACCAGAGGCAATAAAGAGTACGAGAAGAAAAAGCAACAAGAGAAAGTAAGTGGTGTCATCCACTTCATCAGAGGAGTCATGAATAGAGCTGGGATGAGAGCACTTTAGCCATGGAGGTAAGACTAAGGAGTATAGGGACATAGAGAATTGGAACAGTACCAAAGTGGAACATTCAAGTGTTGGTTACTGCCATCTGGCGGCCACAGGGCTTGGAATGGAAGCTGGAGCCCCAGCTGTGGACTGCTTAGGTAAACCTTTCAGGTCTTCAAACTGGAGGGGTCTCCAACCTAAGTCAAACACCTACAGGGATTGAGAAGTGTTAAGGAGCTGTAAAAATGTAAATCAGGTCACCACCGTTCTGGGATTTCCCATCAAACTCTGTACTGCCCAACCTCCGCAATCACTCCTGCTTGGCTTGCTTGCTTCAGGATTCTTCAAGTATCTGCCCAAAAGTACCTGCCTTTGAACTCTGAAGTAGCTCACCTCATCCTCCCTTTCCTGTGCTTTCTGTTACTGCACCTGCAATTGTCCGAGGCAGGAGCTCAGCCTGCCCTGGGTCTGCTGCTCCCCCCCCCAGCATCTGGCATAGTTGGTTTTGACAGGCCTTTGCTGCCAATTATTGCATGACTGGTTTTACCTCCCAGGACCAGAGGCTCTCAGGTCAGAGCACCCAGGTTTCCCTGTTATCACATCCAGGGATTCTGAAAGGAGACACAGTTGGTACACTAAGTGACTATATACTGTCTCTTGTACTTCTGGCCCCTCAGGAAAGGCAAGAGAAAGCTCTGGGCATCCTGACGTACCTGGGCCAGAGTGCAGCAGAGCCCAGACGCAGCCCCTTGGTACCATCCCCCAACAAGAGGAGACCCTCACCTGGCCCAGGCCCAGATGAGAAGATCAAGAGCCGCCGACCTCTGCGGGAGATGCAGAAGCATCTGGGGAAGAAGAGAAGGCACAGTGGTGATGAAGGCATTCACAGCAGAAAGGACAAGAAGGAAGGGTCTGAGAAACAGCGCCAAGGAGTAAGAAGGAAGACCAGCCCCAGAACAGACCAAGGCCAGACCTCCAGGGCATCATAGCAGCTCTGGTCGGGACAGGCGGGGACTCAGCCAGGGTCTGGGTGGGTAGAGAACAAGGTCTACAGAGTTGAGCCTATTTTCATAACACCATTTGCCTTTTTTCACGCTCATTCTCAAGTATGCAGTGCAGGTTCCAGAGTGATTTGATGTGTGAAGACACCACTGTTCTCAAGGCTAATGGCACAGACACGTTTCCAAGACTCCTCAGTTTCTTTCTAATTTGCTATATGTTAATAGATACAACTATTTAAACAAAAGCTCTTCAGGGTCCTCAATTTAAGAGTATAAAGGTGTCCTAAGACCAAAGAGTTTGAAAACCACTGGGGTTAGACAGTAAAAGGTCTATGTCCTAGGGTGCTATGATCCTGAGTGTAGCAGGGTACACCAATGACGGGCTCCTTTTCTAAGGAGGAGAAACTCAGGCGAGAGGGCAAAGAGTTGCTGAGTATACTTTCTTGATCTCAAGGGCACTGATTGTAAAGACTGGGGCAGACAGAGCCACACAGGAGGGAAGCCCAGATGCTTGCCCACGGCATCCCAGCACCAGATGGCTTCCTTCCAGCAGGCCTCAAAAGCTCAGGCTGGGAACAGGCAAGGGTCCAGGTGGCAGCTCTCTCTACAGAAGAGGCTAGGGGAGGGCCCTCCTAGGAACCAACCAGCTTTCTAACCTGACTCCATTCCCCACAGAACCCATCCCTGGACCGGCTTCGAGCTGAACGTCTCCAGAGGGAAGCAGCTGAGAGGCTCGGGCAGAAGCCTTGCTGGCCCGGGTCCAAGGCCGGGCACCACGAGAGGGTCAGCCGGAGATGGAAGAGACAGATGACCGCCTGCGGCGATACAACTCCCAGTTCAACCCCAGCTGGCCGCGCCCCGACGACAGGACCACCTTGCTCACTGACTCCTGAGGGGTACAGGAGAGGCCGCTGCTGCCAGCCGTCATATAAAACTATTTATTCATAAATATTTCCAAAATGAAAATAGGTTACCAAAAATGTCCCTCACTGGGAGGGGAGGAGGGGCAGCCCTCGCCCGGGCCCCGGGCGGGCTGAGAGGAAGAGAAAGCCTCCCAGCCCCTCCCTACTTCCCGGGAGAGGGGGATGCCCCATGCTTGGGGCCTCCCCAGTCTTCCAGGGCAGGGCCTCACCTGGGCAGGGGATCAGCATGCGGGGGAGGGATTGGGTGGAAGGAGGGCCGGTGTCACTGGAGGTCGTCCTCCAGGTAGCGGTACTCAAAGGTGAAGCCTTCCTTCTTCCGCTGGCCCCACTTCTCGTAGTCAAAGTAGATGTAGGTGCCCTGGCCGGGGGAGAAGGCGGTCAGTGAGTGGACGAGGAGGTGGTCTGGGATCTGGGCCGGACCAACAGACAAAGGGGGCAGTTCTTAGATGTGCCAGGCACTGGGCTGACTGCCCTACACACACACGTTCTCATGCCACCCTCACAAAGCTCTTCTCAGGTAGCAAACGTCATCATGCCCACTTTAGAGGAGGAAATGGAGGGAGCCGCAGAGAGGTTATGCCCAAGGCCAGGTGTGTCTGCAAAGCATTCCACTGCTTCCTCGATGGCTGCAGCTTTTGAGCACAGGATGCTCTCGTGCCGAGTACAGGACGCATGGCCTAGCATTTAGTCTTCACAAAAACCTTGAGGCAACGGGTACCGACACCCTCATCCTAGAGAATGGAACAGGCTCAGAGTCTAAATCCAAGCACTCTGCAGGGACATTTTATTGGTGACAGTAGTGATGTGGGAATTTCTGAATGACTAGATGCCCTGTAATGTATAATTAGAGGATGGTTTTGGGCCAAATCAGGATGTGATCGGAGAAGTCTGTAGTTAATGTCTGAGGACACAGTGGGAGAGGAGCTGGGTTCTGAATGAGTCTGAAATGCTTCAAAGAACGGCAGCCTGGGAGAACTGGGGGAGGGGACTGAGTTCTCTGAGGATAAGGACCTTATAATACTCCATCCCATGAGGGGGCTTGGCATCAGGGAAATATTTAGTGGGAAAAAGTCACTGTGGAACACACCAACTAGAAGTAATTTGAAAAAAGAAAACATAAATCCATGACGCTTACTATGTAGCAGGCACCATTAAGTACTTACATGTTATTAACTCATTTAATCTTCATAACAACTGCATAAAGTAGGTCCTTTTACCCCCATTTTTACAGATAGGAAAATTGAGACAAAGAAGTTCAAGTAACTTGCCCCAGGTCACCCAGCTAAAGCTGGGCTCAAACCCAGCTAGGCTGGCTCCAGAGTATTTGCAAGAAGTGGGAGTGTCCAATCAATTATTAGAACATGTGAAGGCCTTTTAAAAACAGAGCTTTCCCACTGAAAATCTGCTAAGCCCCTGCTCTGCTGCGGGCTGGGACATGGAGGTGAAGGGGCGGGCCATCAAGGTCCCTGTGCAATAGAGCCCACAGCTTGGCGCCAAGAGAGAAGCCAGTGAGGAAATCTGACACTCAACTGAGAGTGCTGAGCATCGTGAGGTTGGGGCACCAGACTGGGTGGGTCCAAACAGGCTTCTCCAAGGAAGGGACATTTGGGCTAAGACCTAAAGGAGGACTAGGAGCCAAGTGGAAGATAAGGAAGTATCCTGGGCAGAGTCAACAGCCTGAGGTACTAAGCCAGCTGAAGGGTGGAGGTAAAGGGAACAGAGGCCCGCAGGGGCTTCAGGGTCTCTACCCCGACCCTACCACTGGGACCAGAGGGGGCAGGGGCCCTCACCTGCTCGAACTCATCCGTGATGGTCTTGGGCTCCTCGTGCCTCTGGAACCACATCATGTACTTGGTATGGAATCGCCATGATTGCTTTTTCAGGGCCTTGGCTGCCAGGTACTGTGCCTTAGTGCCCTGGTGGGGGAAAGGTGGAGAGGGGCATCAGGGGACCCCCAAACCAGGTAGGGAACTGGGGGACAGGGCAGGGCATTAGGGCTGACCCGGGGCCCCCGCCACAGACCACAGTCGGGCTGGAAAGTCCACTTGGAGACGGGGCTGGGGGCACAGAACATACCAATGCTGCTCAGGAGAAGGAAAATGAGACAGGAGGTGAAAATTGCTTTCAGAGAAGCTTTGAAAAGGAAGAGAAACTAATGTGTGATGAGAGCTGAGAAAGGAGGCAATACAGATTTCTCAAGTGGGGATGTGGGTGCTTATCCATGACTCACTGGGGTCAGAAGATTGGCAGTTCCCTGCCAATGGGCAGAGTGGAGGGATGGCCTAGACTGAAGGAACCCGGCGAATGGAGCAGGGAAGGGAGCTGGGCCTTGCCGGAGAGCAAAGGGAAGCAGGCTGACGCTTGCCTCAGTGGACCAGCCTTGCCCTCAACCCAAGCAGTTCTAATACCTCTGGGCTGGAAGTGGGAATAGATTGGTTTGGGGGGGGCCCAGGACTAGGGATAGGGAGAGGGTGCGGTCCCAGTGGCCGCAGTGGGGCACCCACCTCACCCCTCCAGCCCGAGGGGGGACAGCGGCGGTGGCGGCGAAGCCGGGGGGCCCGAGGCTGCCCCGGGGGCCCTGCTGTACCTCCAGATAGTAGAAGATGAAGAAGAGTGTCTCAGTTGACAGGCGCTGGTAGAACTCCACGGTGTCCGAGTGTGGGGGCGGCATCTGGTGGTGGTAGGGGGGCGTCGGACAGGGGTTCCGGGGGAGGTACTGCCTGTAGGAGCAAGAAGAGGGTCAGTGCCAGCTGCCTACTAGCTCCTGCCCTGATCTCAAGAGGGTATTCAGACACTCTCCCTCAGACTTGGGAGTTCTGGCCCACATCCTCCTTTGCTGCGGCCCCTCACCGTATCCGCTCGGAGTCAGAGGGGTGGGGCATGTGGTGCCAGGCGGCCTCTTCCATGGCCTGCTGGTAGAGCTGCTCCTTGGTGAGAGGTACAGGGCCCAGGGGACACACACCCAGTGACAGCGGTATGTTCACCTCTGACAGCTGCAGGGGCGGCTGGGCGGAGGCTGGAGGTGCTGACGTGCTGCTCAGGATGATGTCTGTGGGGAGCAGCAGGGCCGGGCCCTCTCGGTGGTGAGGATCGGACAGGGGCCAGCCCCTCCTCTTCGGCCTTCCCCACCACCCTGGGACCCTCACCTCGCTCAGTCAGATGCAGCGTTGGCACAGGGTCCTCAATGCCAGAGCTGATGGCTGCCCGCTCTGCCATGGACTTCAAGGAGCTCAGAGGCTCGGGGGCCTGGGGAGGAAATGAAGGGCCTGGCCTAAGGGCCTGGGGCAGAGAACAGGGCTAAGGTGAGCAAGCAAGGCGTGACAGGGCCCTAGACGCTTGGCTGCTCTGCTGGGAGGGCCGTGGAGAGTCAATTATTCCTCAAGATCTACCCATGACCTGCAAAAGTATCAGAGCTGCAAAGAAGAAACTGGAAACCACCAAAGCATCCATCAACAGAGGACTGTCTAGTACGTGGGACTCTCTGCTGTGCGGTGACTTTGGAAATGTTAGTTCATGACATACTATAGAGGAAAAAAAACACAACCTGCGGAATACATAGTATGCGACCATTTTTGTCACAGGACACGCACTAGCACATGCTCCTCTTCTTAGGACACCTCTACGCTAGAAGAGCACCTCCTCGGCTTCCCTACCATGTGGCATCTTAAGGAGGCAGGAGGTCTCATCCTCATCTCTCTTCCCGAGTGGTGTGGGTGACTGGGACCTGCCCCTCTGCAGTTGAGTCTCCTCTGTGGTAACAGAAGCAGGTTGGGCCTCCAGACCCCCAACCCATAGCACCCTTTGTTCCTGGGGTCACCACAGATTTATATTCACTGTAGTCAGGGCTGGCTCCCTCCATCCACCCTAGCTTGAGCAGTTGTCCCTTTTTTTTTCTGAGATAGAATCTCACTCTGTTGCTCGGGCTAGAGTGCCGTGGCGTCAGCCTAGCTCACAGCAACCTCAAACTCCTGGGCTCAAGCAATCCTCCTGCCTCAGCCTCCCGAGTAGCTGGGACTACAGGTATGCACCACCACACCCGGCTAATTTCTTTCTATATTTTTAGTAGAGATGGGGTCTCGCTGTTGCTTAGGCTGGTCTCAAACTCGTGAGGTCAAATGATCCGCCCGTCTTGGCCTCCCAGAGTGCTAGGATTACAGGCGTGAGCCAGCACGCCTGGCCGAGCAGTTGTCCCTGACCCCAGCCCTGTGCGCTACTCCCTGCAACCCTTCAGCCACCAAGGTGCATCCATCTCACTTCCAAATCCCCCCAATGGATCGCGTCCCTGTGCCACCTGCTCCACATAGCCCAGGCCTGTGCTCTCCTGCCCAGACTTTCACACCACCTCCCCCTATTCTGTCCTCACCAGCCCTGGGGGACCTTTCCAATGAAGTCTTAAGTTGTCCCTTTTCCACTCAAAAACCTTGCTAAGGCTCGCCACCACCCACCTCAGTGATTCATTTTTGTTTTTAAAGGTGAGAGTTGTGTCCAGCCTGCATAGCATAGCGTAGCCAAGACCCCATCTCCAAAAAAAAAAAAAAGGCATGCACCCCTTTTGAGAATCTCAAAGCTGCTGGGTTTTTTTTCCAGAAAAATACATACACCACAAATTTCCTGTCCATAGTATCTCTGAAATTTGAATGCTTCCTCTGGGCCAGAAACTGTTCCAAGAATACTATATGGTGGGTACAATCACAATTATTTCCATTTTCCAGATGAAGAAAGTAGGACACAGAAAGGATAATGCCAGGATTTGGACAGTCTGGGCAAAATTCACACAGCTTCCCCGTGGAACCTATACAACACACTGGCTCTGCAAGCCAACTCCAAGCTCCTGCTTCTGCCATGTCAGTCCCTTGGTAATCAGGACCCCACTGCCCTGTCCTTCCACATCAATCACAGCCCTACAGCCAGTGTCCTTCCCTCTGCAGAAGGGACACCTCTATCTTCCCTCTGCTGAATGCTGCCCAGCCTCCTACCTACCAAAGCAGACCAGCGCCCTTCCCAGAGCTCCTCCTGCAGCATCAGCACCCTGACTCCACCCCTCACCCTGGCTGATGTCTCAGCTTAAACATCACCCCTCAGCCTGTCTCCCAGGGCAGGTCAGATAAATGCCCACAGTTCCCTCCTCCGTGGCTGCCCCATCAGAAACCGCTCCCTCCACTAGCCAGGAAGCTTCCTAAAGGCAGGAACCAGGCTGCATTTGCCTGGCACAAAGCTTGGCCCACGGCAGATTTCAATAAGTATTTTCTTTTCCTTCTTTTTTTCTGAGACAGAGACTTGCTCTGTCACCCTGGGTAGAGTGTGCAGTGGCATCATCATAGCTCACGGCAACCTCGAACTCCTTAAGCTCAAACAATCCTTCTGCCTTGGCTTCCCAGAGTGCTAGGATTACAGGTGTGAGCCACCACGCCCAGCCAACAAGCGTTCTCTTGACCAAAATGGTTTGTTAGAAGGGAAAGAAGGTATTGAGTCATCACATGAAACAGAAAGCACCAGTGTGTCTTGTGAGGAGAAATGGAGCTAAAGACTGAGGCCTGGAGGAAAGATGGAGACAGAAACCCAGAGAGGGCAAGTACAACCAAGGGGAAGGAAAGAAACCCCAAGAAACAGAGACAGAGTCTCAGAGACAGCTCAGTGGGAAGTATGAGAGTGCCCAGAGACCAAAGTGAGGGTACAGGTGGTACAGAAAGCCCTGGAGAAAGAACAGGTAGGTGCCAAAAGAGGACAGAAAGCCAAAAAAAACCGAGATCCCGAGAGAGTGAGGGTGGTTCGTCAGAGACCTGGAGGAAAGGAGACAGAAACATCTAGAGCAAAGACAACAGAGCCAGGTCAGAGGCTCTGGGCCCACTGGGGATGTTCAAGGAGCCCACCTTGATCTCCGGGGCAGTGCTGAACTGCGGAGGTCCGTTGAGCAGGGCACCGGCTGCCTTGGCCTCGCTGAAGCTGGGTGTTGGGGAGCTGGGGGGATTCACAGGCAGCGGCACGAGGAGGCTGGGTCCCCCTGAGTTGTTCCCTGAGCCTGGGGCCACACCCCCAGCCCCAGTTGGAGCTGCTGCACCGGGTTCCTTTCTGAAGAGAGAGGATAGAGAAGGGGAGGGGGCTCAGAGCAAGGTCCCTGAGACTGAGTGAAGAGGGGAGAACCCACACAAGATGGGATCTAAGAGGGGTGGGCTGAGGGCAGACAGATGGGAGAGAAAAGTGGCTCTTTTGGGTAAAGGTAGAACCTAATCTTGGAATTATTTCTCATCAGTGAAGTAGAGCTATCTGGAGGTGGGAATGAGATGCTCAGGGTGCTCCAATAGAAGGGCACAGGCTAAAAAACGGATAAAGGGGGGGATGGCCTTCTGGAACAGCCCATGGAGGAGGAAGGTATGGGAGTGACTGTCCCAATCACAAAACAAGCTGCCTTGGGCAGGTGGACATAGGGCAGATGCCCCTCTAGGGCAGCTCAGCTGGAGCTGGAGCAAGGGGCCAGGGAAGCAGGCCTTGCACTCAGCCCATGTGGAACTTTTTTTTTTTTTTTTTTTGAGACAGTCTCGCTTTGTTGCCCAGGCTAGAGTGAGTGCCGTGGCGTCAGCCTAGCTCACAGCAACCTCAAACTCCTGGGCTCGAGTGATCCTCCTGCCTCAGCCTCCTGAGTAGCTGGGACTACAGGCATGCGCCACCATGCCTGGCTAATTTTTTCTATATATACTAGTTGGCCAATTCATTTCTTTTCATTTATAGTAGAGACGGGGTCTTGCTCTTGCTAAGGCTGATTTCGAACTCCTGACCTTGAGCAATCCACCCGCCTCGGCCTCCCAGAGTGCTAGGATTACCCATGTGGAAGATTAAGTTCTCTCCTGGGCCATTCCTCTGGCAAACAGGTGGACCCAGTGAAATGGTTTGACCTAAGATCTGGAAGAGCAGCTAAAGAGAGGAAGGAGGACTTCAGGATATTTCATTTTGAAAAGCAGAATACTGACCCCTCCAGCAGGAGTCAGGTGGCCTCAGGCAGGTAACAGAAATGTGGAGGGGTGGTTGGTGGGGCTCCCGAGAAAAATCCCAATTAGATGAAGATATATTTTGGAGCATTCTAAAGGGCAAAGTGGGGAAGCCAAAATATACAATGTCCCAGCTGGAAAGAAGTGGGGACACAACACCTAACCAAGGTGGAAGACAGCTCACTGGACATTCTAACTAGCAAGAGCAGGGCCCAATTCCCATGCCCTGTGGTGACAGGGGAGGCCTAGTGCCTCTTTGTGCCACGAGGCTGCTGCCCCCAACCCTGCCAAAGGCCCAGACACTCACGAGGTGCTGGGAGGTGGGTTGTGAGGGCCGGAAGGGGGTCCCAGAGCCTGGTTGTTGGCGTTGTTGCCCCCACTGCTGTTCAGAGCCACCTCTGCCGGGCTGTCTGCCACAACTGAGCTGTAACCTAGGAGGGGGAATGAAGAGCAGATGGAAAGAGGCTGCCAGCTGCTACCCAGCCCCACCGCAGCCCTGCAGCCTACCCCGCCAGCTCTCCACTTACTGGTGGCGCCATTCTGCTTGCCAGCACCTCCGCCGGCACTGCTGTTGCTACTGCTGCTGCTTCCTCCGCTGCCTCCACCACCTCCGCTGCCTCCCCCACTAGGCTGGACACTGGGGGGCCGGGGCTGGGTGGTGTTGGGCCCGCTGGGGGCCGGGGGTGCCACAGCCTGGGCGTAGGGGGCAGGGGTACCCGAGTTGTGGCTGGGAGCTGGACTGGCCTTGGGGCCCAGGGCACTTGGGGGTGCTGCTGGGGCAGGGGCCCCATTGTTGCCAGGGGTGGTATTCAAGGCAGAGGCAGCAGGCGGGGGGCCGGAGGGGTAGGTGGGCTGCACAGCTGGGGACTGAGAGTGCTGGTTGCTGTGGACAGGCTTGGAGCCATTTTTGGCTGGAGACTGCGGGTGGGAAACAGCAGAAGGTCAGCACCCAGTGGGCCGGGCTGGTGCCCACTCCCCCCAGGCTCAGGCTCCATTGTTGTCCCACCTGCCTCCTCTCTGGTCTGTCTCCAGCTGCTCCCGCCCTCCTGGGGACCCAAGTGACGTGACTCACCCCCATGGCTTCAATCACCTTCATGCTTAAAACACTCCTGCCCAGCTTCCCAAGTCCTGCCCCGACACCTCCCCATGGATGCCCCACAGGGATCTGACACACAACATGGGTTGCCACTCAAAGACCCATGTGCCAGACAACAGGGAACTAGTGGGAAACACCTAAATGTCCTCGATATGAGATTAGCTGGGGCAGCCTAACATCCAAGAGCAGAAGGAAAAACGGGTGTAAATTGGACAGTAATTCTGAGTACCACTTAAAGGGTCACAGAAGCCACTTGCAGGGCCAGCAAACACGTTCCACAGCACCCCCACTCCAGCCAAGCTGCTGACAAACAACTCGGGCAGCTGTACCTAACTGCCTTCTGGACTTCCCCTGACTACCCTACAGGCACCTGCACTCAGCAAACGCCAAAAGGGACTGCCCACTCACTGTTTCCTGGGATCAGTGCTTGGCAGTGGGGGCCTGGGAAGGTGACTGAGCCAGGCCAGCCCCCTGGGAGTCACTGACTCAGCTTCTCTCCTCACCACCGCCTGCCCCTACCACCCCTCTTGCTGCTCCTGGGTCCCCACACCAGCCCCATCAATGCCTACTCAAGGTCTCCCCTTTGGGCCCATTCTGTCCAACTGACGTTATTCCTCTGCAGCAGTGTTTCTGAAAGTGTGCTTCTATCTTGGGGGAGATGCTAATAAGGTTAACAGGGGTCACTGGGGGGAAAAATTCTGAGAAACGCTGCATGTCACCTTCTACTCTCAGAAACTTGCAATGTACATTAGCCAGGGAAGGCCCCATCACTTCTTAGGCATGCTTGTTCCCTTCAGAGCTGGTCCACAAAGCCTAAGCCCCTCAGCCTGACCACCTCAGGCCCTGTGCTCACACTGGGACCCCAGGCCCCACAGACCTGCCTGGCTGCTTCATCTCTCAACATTCCCAAGTTTTCTGTCACAACTCTCCCAAGTTATCTGCTGCCGTCCCTCCCTGCCAAGCAGACTCGGGCATTCCTCTGAAGCCCAGGGCACGTGCCATCCTAAAGGAGCATTTGCTGGCCGCCAGGTCAGGCTTGTGGCCTGTGCTACCCCCTTGACCACAGCATCAGCCACCTGTGTGCCTGCCCTGCCCACCTGCCCTCAGGACAGCACTGATTTCTGATCCACCTATGCCCCCAAGTCCAGCACTATGGCCAGCCCTCAGGCCTCAATAAGCCTTTGGAAACCAATGAATAAGCAAGTGACATGCCCATCAACACAAGCTCAGACCCACCTGGCTGACTTCGCTATCTGTTGAGCGTCCTCTCTTCTTATCATCTTCGGAGTTTTCCTGAGGTAGGGGAGGCAGAGTCAGAAACCTGTGTGACTCTAGGACCCCCAACAGAAGCCAATCTTCGAACACCCCAGGGACTGGGCCCAGCTGACTAACCTTGCACCCTTCAAATGCCTGCCCTTGACCTCCCTGGAGAAAACCACCTAAATTCAGGCTCCTCAATGTCCTTGTCTTCTGGGAACCAACATTCACCCTCCAGCCTCTTAAGGATCCAGGAACCCACTCTCTCCTTAGGGAATCTAACCCTTGGATCCCAGCCAGCTCCCCAGCCTCCTCAGGCACCCCATGCACCGGCCCCTCCCACCTCCCACACTCAAACCTAGAATAAAATGACCAGGGATTCAGGGTCCACCCCATCAGCTCTGTACTAACCGCTATGGACCCAGATGTAGGATCTGAGCCACCCCAAGAGCCTAGACCCTGGATACCTAGATCCTTGCTTCCTCAATTACTCTCCCACAGCCACTTCTGAGAGACCCAGGCGTGTCACCTTGACTCCTGCCCCCCTGGAAATAAGTTACTAGTGCCATGTTGGGCCTCACCGTGGTACAGTTGGCTGGGCTGGGCGGGATGGGAGAGCTGGAGGTGGTCGAGGTGGGTGTGCTGCTGGACTGGTTGAAGATCTCATCCTCCATGTGGCTGTGGCTGGGGGGGGAGGTGGCGACCAGCGCCTGTGCTGTGGGGGAAAGGGGAGGGGCATGTTTAGCTAGCAGGGAAACCCCCTCCTGGCCCCAACCCACTGCATCATGGCCAGCCCCGGGGCCTCACGAATGTCCTCTAGGTCCAGGTCGTCATAGAGAAACTCATTCTCCTCGAAGTCAGGGTCCTGGGATGAGTCGACATAGTACTCAACATCGTCCTTGATCTTGCGGATGGCGTCAACGAGGATGGAGTCATTGTCCAGCATGCGCAGGATGGTCTCTAGCATCCGCACGTGGTACCGGTGCTTCTCGATGTGCCGCTTCAAGCCCTCAATCCGGTCCTGCTTCTGCTGGCGAGCCCAGGGCCAGGCTCAGGGGCTGCTGAGCACCTGCCTGTCCCCTCCTGTCCCCACAGAACCCATCCTCAGTCCCTGACCCCTGTGGAGACCCAGAGGCTCCACTCCAGCCCCTTCCAGGGTAGGGCAATATGAGGTCTGTCCACCCTCTGATCCCTGTGGGGACCAATTTTAGGCTTCTGCCATCTTGGGAATCCCACTGTTCCCTTAATACACCCTTTCTGGCTCCAGGAATATCTGGAAACCTCTAAAAGACCCAGTGGTCCCTAAAAGAACCCCACAACCTGGCCCCTAATAGTACCTCACCTGACGGCTCAAATCTCTCCACTGTGCCCACCAGCTCCTACCACCTTCTGGGATATAGATCCCCCACTGCCCCTCCACGTCTTGTTCCAACAGTATTAATGATAACCTCCAGGCTTGCTGTTTAGAATCATGATGATATCTGTCATCACTAGCCCCCACTCCCAACCCTACAGGAGCCCAGATTCTTAAGCCTAGCACCTGCCCCCCAGAGGCCCCAATTCCTTTCAGGATTTGACTTCTTAGCCTCAGTTCCAAATCCCTGCTCTAATAAAGGACCCATCGTCTCCCTGGCTCCACGCCCCTGGTTCCCAAAGCCCTCAGACTTGATGCCCAACTCTGGCACACCTCTCACTTCCCAACCTTCCCCCACCCCCAGCTTCTCTAAGGACCTGGCTCTCTTTTCCCCATATTTCCTGTGGCAACAAGTAGATACAGTTTGTATCCCTTTGAGCTCACACCCTATAATCCTGAATTTTTGGAATCTCGGATCTCAGCATCTGGCTTTGTCCCAGACCACTCTTTTCCTTCAGGCCAAACTCACTGGTTTAGGTGTCCTGTTTTATCTCTTCCCACTGGCTCCTCACTAGAATTTGGGGCTCTCTGGGTGCTATGAGGCCTCCTACCCTGGGTGTCCTTCAGGTCTCGCACTCACTGTGCAGCCCAAGCTGAACCTGAGCTCATTTTCTCCAAATTGTGCCTCTTCTCTGAGGCCTCACTGTCTACCCAGACACCCAGGGTGAGATTCCGTCTTACCTCCTCTCTCCGTACCACCTAACTCAGCTGCAAATCCCTAATCTCAGCTGTTGGCCCTGTCTACCTTAGGAATCAGACCCCGTAGCCCACGAGCCTAAATGACTGGGTCTCCCATTCACCAGCCCATTCCCATCCCCATCCTGTGGGCTTCAGGCCGCCCCACACTCACATCCTTGTCGCCCTTCTTCTTGCGTGTCTGCACCGACAGTGACTCCACTTCACTCTCAAACTGGTCCACCTGCATGTTTAGGGTGTCGATAGTATTCTGGGGGGAGAAGGAGGAAAGAGGAAGGCTGTCAACCAGAGTTCGCGTGTACGCTCAGGGCTCAGGGCCCCCCAAGTTCACCTCCTCTTCTCTACCCCAACTCACCGTGAGCCACTGGCCAACCTCTTCCTTTTCCTTCTGGGCAGGGTCCACCTTCTGGGCCAGACCCAGGCCCTCCTTGCTATAAGCTTTGGTCTTAGTCTCTCGTTCCACAACTTTGAACCGTTCCATTTGCTGTAGAGAGTGCAGTTGGCAGGGGGGCTCTCGAAGGTGGGAAAGGAGCTGACTAAGGGCCAGCAGCCACTCAACCTGAGCCTCATGACCTCATCTTCTGGACTCTGAGCCCACTGCCTCCCCCTTCCTTTAGGCGCACAGACCTTATTCCTCTTGGGGAATCCCTGGTGGCTGTTCTACCTCTGCCCCCTGGGGTCCCAGGAATCTGGTCACCTCCCCACCTCTCAGGGACCCAGACACCCAGCTCCAGGCTCCTACCGTCTCAATGAGCTTGCGGTTGTCAATAAGCTGCCTCTTGTCCTTGATCTCGTTGGACGCTACCCATGTCTTGATCTGGTCCCTCAGCCGCTGCAGATGGGAAAAGCAAGAAGGTCAGATATCAGGACCCAGGAACTGCGGTCCCCAGCTCCTTCTCCCTGGGACCCAGCAGTCCACTCTCCCAGTTCCCTCCACCCTCAGGACACGAGAGTCCAGGCCCCTAGCCCCCTCACTTGTAGCTTCTTAATCTCCTTCTTTAGGTCAGCCTCATACTTTTCTTTCTGGTTCGCGTTGGCTGCATTGTGGAGCTGAGGGATGGAGAGAATTCAGGAGTCAGTGTGCAAGTTGCCAGCCCAGTCCACCAATGGCTGGACCAGCAGTGCAGATGCAGTCTCTCTCCTCCCTGTGCCAGGGACTCTGGGATGCCCCCCTCCCCGCCCCTCAGCAGGTGGATATGCAGGCCCTCACTCAGGTCAATACCCAGAGATCCTGAACCTCTGCCTATGCTCTCCTGGGAGACCTAGATTTTCAGGGACCTGCCCCTGTACCTTCTGCCAAATATCTTCAAACTGCTCCACACCCTCGGACACCTTCTTGAGGCAGCGATCAATCTCACCTGGCCAGGGAAGAAGAACACAGTTAGAATCCTGCCAAGGCATCAGGCACCAAAGAGTTCCCAGAAGAGAGAGCATGTGGTCATACGTGCAGTGGGCCGTTAGTGGAGTACCTTGGAGTTTGCGCTTGTCCGCCATCTTCCCTGCCCTACAGACGCACTCTCTTCATACTCTCTTGGAGACGGACGCTGCTAGGAGAGAATGAGAAGGAATTAACATCTATTCCCTGGTTGGTCCAAGCCCAGAAACATAGATGTGGTCAGAAATAGCAAGCCAGGTGGATGATAAAGGGAAGAAGTCTTTACTATCTGATGATAAAGACCAGACCCAATTCCCCTTATGCTCCCTTGATTGCCCTGTGTAAGGTCTGGCTGACAGGGAAACTCTGAAAGTCCGCTGAAACAAGGAAAGCTATATATATATTTTTTGTATGTCTCTGACCCAGGAAGTGGAAAATTCCTAGAGCACTGAGCACCTTCTCCTCAGATGACACTCAAAAGGATTTTTCAGAGCAGGACGAAGTCATGCAGCCCATAACTGACTGCTGGGACAAAGGCATCAGCATTGGAGATCACACCTTCTACACACAAGGGCTGGGCACAGAGGTCCCTTGGAGAGGTCACCTCTTGGACAAGTTAGGAGACAAACAGAACTGCCATCTCACAGAGAAGGGCCTGATATATGTGTACATGTGCGTGGTCTGTAGGTGAGGGAAGGGAGGTTGGGGGTGGGGAACAATGAAAGATACCTAAAACTATGAAGAGCTGAACCTACTCATACATGCCAAGCAGAAGAGGGCCTTGCACCGCCAAGAAATTTATTCCAGAGCAGAAACCTTAATCCAAAGGAGATAATACTCCTAACCCCAAGAGGCTGATACCAACAAGAGTTACAGATTTGGGGGCAGAAGGCAGTACCAAGAGAAAGCTGGGAAAAGATAGAAATCTTACAAAGAGGGTGAAAAGGTACCTTAGCTGTGAGGGAGCCGATCTGCACACACAAAGGAATCCCATATCAAATGTATTGGTAACTTAGACTCAGGGAAACATACACCACCAGGGCAGGCACCCAAAACTTAAAAGATAGGGGCATCTTTACCCTAAAGGAAGTTATGTGCAACCCAGAGGGATGAGATCAGAGGGGAGTTACCAGGAGCTTTAGTTTAGGAAGAAGCCACATCTTAGGGCCTGACACCAAGACCAGAGAACCTTGGGTTATGATAACAGGACTTCTAAGCCAACAGCAGAGATTTCCTTCCTAGCAGATAGGGGGCCTATACTGAAAACCATGGCTCCCTGAGATCCAGGGGGTGCTCCCACTCTACTGGCACAGGGCAGGGGTACCCCAGAGCAGCCCTTAACTGTAAAGACAGAAACAGCCACGCTGAGGACTAAGTGCCTCAACCCAGAGGGAAGTCATACCAAGAGGGTCCTTACCCACAAGGAAGGGAAACAGTCCCAACTAGAGAACAGTCCTAACTAACAGAACTTTGCAATGTTGGAAATGTTCTATATTTGCACTATCTATTGGCCACTGAATACTTGAAATGTGACAAGTACAACCGAGGAACTGATTTTCATTTTTAACTAGTTACTCATCACTATATGTGGCTAGCAGCAACCATATAACAAGCTTTAGAACAAAAGGCCAATGAAGGATAGGGCTGGTAACTTAAACCCAGGGAGTTTTTTCCCCTACCCCATAGGGACCCATTCTGAGTGGTAGTAGGGAAAAGTGCTACCGTAGACTTCAGTCAGCTTAAATCTCCTCAGTAAAAGACTCAACCAAAAGAATAGCAGGATCCTCAGTCCAGGGTCACCTAACATGCCATAGTCTCCAAGGCAAAGCAACTAGACAAAAGGACTCAGGAGATAGTGCCACAGAGGGAACTCAAACTGAGGGGGGACAAGTAACTTTTATCCAGGGACCTTGCACAACAACACAGAGATGTGCAGAGATCCTGACCAAAGTCTTAGCTCCAACATCCCACCACAGAAAAGCCTCTTACTGCATACGGGGGATGGGAATGTTAAACAAGAGCTTATGCTCCCTCTCTCTGCCCCACAAGCCCAACAGAGGGTCATGGCAGGTATCCCAGCCCAGAGGGAGATGTCTCATGGTTTACACCCCTTAACAAGGCACTCAAGACCACAGGGAGGTGATCCCCTCCCCAAGTCCCCACACTGAAAGGGTTGGGACCCCAGTGCAGGGGAGGCAGTGATACTCCCACAGAGGGGAGACTATACTGTGGCAGCAAGAGAAGGAAATCCTGAACGAGTCAGAAGCAAGGTGCCAGGGGAAGAAGAGCCCTAACACAGAGAGGTGATGTTTCAGATAGAACAGTCCGACATCAAAGTGGGCAACAGCTGAGACCCAGAGGGATAACACCTGATTTGGGGAGAGAGCCCCTCTGCAGAGAATGGACAAGTTCCATAAGCCCAAGGTACTCGTCCCCTAGAGAGGCTGGAGCCTTAGCCCACAGTGGAGACAACACCCCTCCCTGAAGAAAACCCCCTATCAAGAGGGTGTCTGTACCTCAGATCACCCCAGCACAGGACCAGAGAAAAAGGAAGCTAGAGCTTGAGTCTTGAAGCAGAGATGCCACCACAGAGCCACATCTGCTCTGGGGGAGGAGGGTGTCCCACCAAGATCCTCCACGGGTATGTAATTATTGCAAGGCCCACTCTGAGGCAGGTGGATACGTTAGGCAAGGAGAACTTGCACTCTAACAAGAAAGGGGTCTCAAACAACACGAAGGAATCTGGGAACCTTGGCCCAGGAGGAGACTTACCTAAGAGGATCCTTTGTCCAAGAGGAAAGCAAATCCACGCAAGGAAGGAGCTAAAAGGCGTGGGTAGGCTGAGCAGTACACCAGACCCACAGGAACCAACACCTAAAATGATGGGCCAAAGCCAATAACAAAGTGCCCCCCAGCTTCACCTCAGGGGAGAGGGCACCACCACACAAAAAGACTTGAGAAGGGCAGGAGAGGGTAGAAGGCTCAAGTCCTGGGGAGCTAACACAAGCAGTCCCTAATACTGGGGGCTATCACATGCCCACAGAGGTCTGGTACCATGTCTGAGGTGCCTTTGATCTAAGAGAGCTTCCGCCTCAATGGCCTGGAGCTCTAGGAAGTATGTTGGAGGGTGATCCTCAATCCAGGGGAGGCTGCTGACTCAGCCACACAGAGGCTCTGGAAGGTGGATGTGTTAAGTCCTGGGGTATAGATAGTTATCTCCCCATTGAGAGGCCCAATACCAAGGGTGGAGAACTGGGAATCCCCACCTTGGAACACCAGAGGAACCTTTAATCCCAGAGAAGGTGACTACACCAGGGTCTCGCTCCCTCAAGTCTCAGGTGCCTTAAATCCCCACAGAAAGGAACCTTTGCCTTTGTCCCATAGAGTGTGAAATCATGAGAGAGATTGGTAGCATTAGCTGAGGGCACCTACATCTAAAAAGGGTGTTTACCCTCATAATGGGGACACACACAGACCACGGACACCTCAAATGCATAAGGACTAATACCAATACCAAGGCAGGCAGGAACCTTATCCCTGGGGGAGGCAAGACCAAGAAAAATTCCTTACCCTAGAGAAAGCAAATCCCAGAGAGAAAAGCCCACACCTCACAGTACAAGAACCTCAGGTTTAAGAAGCCTTATACTCCTAATGGGTACCAGCAGGGTGGGAAGTGGGTAGGTGTGAACCCTTGTTCTACAACTGCTAACACTCAGTGGGTTCTTTTGGTGATGGTAAGATTACATATCCACAGTGAGGGATCTGACATGAATATGAATACCAAGGGGAGTGGGTTCTTGGCCCCTGGAGAGATGATACACCAAAGATAACTGGTGTGGCTAGAGCTAGAAGCCTCACACTGAGGCAGGCGACAGCTCATGTGGTGAAAGAAGTAGGGAAAGGTGTTCAAAAACCCTTACCAAAAGGGCAGAAGGGTAATCCTGGGAGAGGTGACAGCCCCTGCACTGAGACACAGGTACTACTTAGAAAAAGGGGGACTTTAGCTGCCTACCATGGGAGCTCCCTAACAACATGGACAGAGTGGGAGCTTAGGAGGTTTCACCAAGAGAAGATGGGTACCTGAGACCCAAAGGAGCTAAACAGCCCACGACATGACATCACAAGGAAGCCCACACCCAGAGAGACAGACAGTTTGGACCCAGGGGGAGCTCACATCTACAAAGCCAGAGGCAGACACCAAGACCAAAGGGGTAGAAGGGCTCAGGCCCAGAAGTGGGCAACATTGACGGCAGTCCTGAATCACAGTGAGGGGAAGTCATGCTCCCCTAAAAGGAAGGCTCCCTGTGCTGCGGGCTGTAGAAGCTTTAGTCGTCTGGGGTACTTTTCACCATGAAAGAGAAGAGGTGCATACTAAAGTAGAAACTTTGGCTGAGGCTCTAACTAAAGGAGCTGGCATTTCCATTTTTGGGGAGTTTATACTCTACTCGATCTCCAAAGAGGCTCCCCCATAAGATACGGAGAGGAAGCTGGAACCTTAGATGCAAGGGGTTATGCTCCAAACAGAAGAGATGCTACCAACGGTGAGGAGGGATGCGGAGACGGGGGCCCTGAAGGGTGACTCCCCACGCCCAACAGAGCCCTTGTCCTGGAGGGGGCCTTGCACCCCCTGACACCACTGTGAAGGGGGAAGCCTCGGCGCGGAGGCTGCCCACAACACAAGGGCCTAAAGCCGAGAGGGCGGGCACCGGGGACCTGGGGCGCCTCCATCCTTCCAGCCAAGAACCAATACCGACGCGGAGAGGGGCGGGCACCTCGCTCACGGAGGGTTCGCACCCTCACACCCCTACCCCAGGGCCCGACGCGATGCCACGAGGGGAGGCAGCGGCGGGCGGGGCGAGGGGTCGGGTCGCGGAAAGACCCCCGGACGGCGCTGAGGGGTGTGAAGGAGGAGGAGGAGAGAGAGGGCGAGAGGGAGGGGGCTGCGCCCCGCGCTGCAGAGGCGGCGGCAGGGGGCGGGCGAGGGGAGGCCGTGTCGCGACAGACGGAGGTGTCCCCCAGGCGGGAAGCGGCGGGGAAGGCGGCCGATGGCGCCGGGGGAGAGGAGGGGAAGGGGTCCGGCCCAGTCGAGCCTGACGCTCTCACCACAGGAGCTGGCGCCGCCGCTGAGGAGCGTATCGCGACAGGCGGGGGAGGCGAGCGCCCGCCGCCTTTTTCTCGCGCCCCGGGCCCGGGCGCTATCGCGATAGCGGCGCGAAGCGGAAGTGGGGTGGGGGAAGTGGGCCCGGGGTTGTTCTGACGACGGGGGTCGGGGCTCAAGGGAGGCCGCGGCGTCTGCCGATGGCTCCGCGGAAGCTGACCGGGCCCGGTCCAAGATGGCGGCGGAGGAGGCCTCCCCTCCTCTCTTCTCGTCTCTGGCGCGGGTCGGCCCCGAGCCCCGAATATAGGCCTGTCATTGCTCCTGCTGCACGTCGCTCTTGACCCTCAGAGGCACCCTATTGGCTCCTGGTAGGGATGCGACCGGCCCCTTCTTGCGGATTGGACAATCTTTTCAAGGCGCGGCGTTCGATTGGTCTCCCGCGCAGCCTGCTACGATTGGCTCAGATGTTCCTCTCTGCTCCTCCTCCTCCTCCCGCCTCAGGGCACAACACGCCAGCGCGAGGACTCCTGCGTCAATCAAGAGGCCTGTGTCATGCTGATTGGATATACCCGCCCCCCTCTCCTAAACCAATTGGTCAAGGGGAGGAGCTAGACCGATCAGGGGCGGGAAGTCGTCCGTCAAGTTTAGAGCCTTTTTTAATTGGTTTGGGGAGTATATTCTGCCCTGAAGCCATTGGTTGGTCCTGGAAGTGGGTGGGGAAGGCGGAGGAAGGCATGGAGAGTGGGCATTAGAGGCCGCGTACCTAATGGGAGACAGACAGGTGCCTTCAAAGCGGGGGCCGGGTCGAAGCCATCTACCAATCAAAGCAGCCACGGGGCCAACGGGGAGGAGCTGGACAAGAAAGTCCACCCCTTTCTCTTCGTTGTCTCCGGCTGTTAGCCTCCGTGCGGGTTTGGCCAATAGTGTAGCGAGTGGGCGGCACCTGCTCGGGAAGCGTGTGAAAGAGGGTGTAGCTAGCAGGTGTGGGACTTGGCGCATCCTTCCACGTCCCTTGCGTCCGGGGCAGACAGGTTGGTCCCCGTCTCTCAGTCGCATTATTTTCCTCCAAGTGCCTCTGTGTTGGCACATTTCTGAAATGCATGATTTGCTGAATGAAAGAAGGAAGGAAGGAAGGAAGCAGAGACAGTGCCTCTGAGTCCCTGGCACCATGCACAGCAAAATTGATTGGAAGCGCGAGGCATAGAGTTTTTGTCCTGCTCTGACTGGGTATATGACCAGATGGTGGGGCAGCCGTTCTTTGCAGCTCCGTTTCCTGAGTGTTTTGAGGACGCTGCAGAAGGTAGAGATGAGATTGGCTTTCTCCTCCCACGGTTGCCTCGGTAATGCCTGCTCGTTTCAGATCTCAGCTCTGTTGTCTTTTCTTGAGGAGAAAACTTTCCTGACCACTCGTGCTGGGTGCTCATGTGAGCCTTGTTTGTTGGGATTTTTTGCACGTGTACCGTTATTTTTGTAATTATTTGGGTGCTCCCCACCTGGATTTTGAGTCCGGACACTTAGCAAGCAGGAAGCAATCAGTAACCAATTTGCTGAATGAATAGATGAAGGAATGTGAGGAATGACTTGTGGCTTTCAGGAACTGGTAGGCATTTGCCCAGGGTCATACAATGGAGATAGAAAGCCAGATACCACCCCCTCTTCCTCTCTAGGTGGAGTAAAGTAAAATAAATCCAGGGGAAAAGTAAACATACACGGAACCCTTCCGTTCAGCACCACCCGCGTCAGAATCGCTCGAGGTGAGAGAGGGAGGGATGCTTGTAAAAATGTATAGTCTTTGGCCTGCACACAGACCTACAGGAGGGAAGCCTAGGGATCTGTATTTTTAAACTCTGGTGATTCTTGGCATTCCTTAGCATTTGAGAGTTATCGATCTAGAGCTTTGCTATTCCAAGTGAGGTCCCTGGATGGAGCAAGGCTTCACAAACTTCTCAGATTTGTTAAAATGCAGATTCTGATTGAGTTTTCAGATTGTGCTTTTCTAAGGAGCTCTCAGGTGATGCTGATGGTTCACAGTTCACACTTTGAGCAGCAAGTATCCAAATTAGTGATTCTCAAACTTGGCTGTAATTAGAAACACCTAGGGAGGCCAGGCTCAGTGGCTCACACCTGTTATCCTAGCACTTTGGGAGGCTGAGGCAGGAGGCTTGCTTGAGGCCAGGAGTTCGAGACCAGCCTGAGCAACATAGTGAGACTCCCCCGCCCCCATCTTGACCAAAAATAGAAAAAATTAGCCGGGCATGTTGGCGCATGCCTGTAGTCCCAGCTACTTTGGAGGCTGAGGCAAGAGGATTGCTTGACCCCAGGAGTTCAAGGCTGCAGTGAGCTGCTATGAGTATGCCATTGTACTCCAGCCTGGGCAACAGAGGGAGACCCTGTCTCAAAACAAACAAACATCCTTAACGATTGTACCGCCATAATATTCTGAAATAAAAAACAAACAGGCCAGGCGAGTGGCTCATGCCTGTAATCCTAGAACTCTGGGAAGCTGAAGCGGGTGGATTGCTCAAGGTCAGAAGTTTGAAACCAGCCTAAGCAAGAGTGAGACCCCTGTCTTTACTAAAAATAGAAAGAAATTAATTGGCCAGCTAAAAATATATATAGAAAAAATTAGCCGGGCATGGTGGCACATGCCTGTAGTCCCAGCTACTCGGGAGCCTGAGGCAGAAGGATTGCTTGAGCCAAGGAGTTTGAGGTTGCTATGAGCTAGGCTGACACCAGGGCACTCTATTCGGGGCAACAGAGTGAGAATCTGCCTCAAAAAAATAAACAAAAAACCACACTGAGTGAACTTAAAAAAAAATTCAGATACCTAGCCTTGCACTAGACCAGCTAAGTCAATTTCCAAGGGCAGGAGCCTGATATGAGTAATTTTTAAAATTCCTGAGATGATTCCAATGTGCAGAGCTTATCTAACAGCCACTTACAGACTTTTCGAGAGCAGTGGATTCTCCAAGTGTGCTTTTGGATGAGCATAAACCATCACTTGGGAACTTGTTTGAAATGCACATTTTTGGGCCCCACCCTGGACTAACTGAAACATAAACTCTGAACCCAGCAACTATGTTCAACAAGCCCTCCAGGTAATTTGGAAGCATATTAAATTTTGAGAATCTCTAAGAGTAGGTAGAACTGTAAGGTCAGGTGCCTTAGATTCCTTTCTTGAAATTCACATCCTCATGTCTCCCCACCCTACTACCCACTGGCAGATGCCAGATACAGTTTGGCCAGAAGTGATGGGGGATTCTGAACAGAGTTGTGGACAAAGGGTCCTCCCTGGCAGGCTAGTATGCAGAGATCAGCAAAGATGGTCGTTTTCAAACAAGGCTGACCTAAAGCCTCAGGGACAAAACTGGAGAAACAGGCATCCTGGGGTAGTTTGGCCATTAAGAGGAACCTCCTGGGTGTGTAAACTTTTTAACCTGAGGGAGGAAAGAGATTCAGAGATTGCAGCTGAGGTCCAGAGATAGGATTTAAGGAGGGACTGGGATCCAGAGACAGAGTGGTGATGGGGGAGGCCCAGAGAGGGCAACAAAGAGCAGGATCTCACGGACAGGACTCAGGAAGCCAGAAAGACCCAGGTAGAAAGCATGAGCTGAAGGGAGGGAGAGAGGGAAAGATGGAGACTGCAGGCATGATCCTCCCACCACTGCTGCTGCTTGTCTTCATAGTATCTCTCTTGGGTAACTAAGAGGAGCCCTGACCTAACCTAGCAGATCAGGTGACTAGGCCCCCTCCTTAGTATCTCTGTAAAGCCCAGCCCCAGAGCAGAGTGAATGGGAGCTCTGGAGTTGTTCTTCCTTAACCTTTCCAGGGAAGCCATGGTTTCATGCCACCCTGCTGGGACTGCTCACACACTTCCCTCACCTGGAATACCTCCCTCCCCACCCACCTCCAACCCCCCACTGCAGGCCACATTCCCCCCCAGCCCAAGTGAAGACAGCCCTGGCTGAGCCCCAATTCCTAAGACAGTTCCTGGAGGGCAGGGGGTGGGTGGGAAATGTGCTCCTTTTGCCCACCTGGCAGGAACTGTTACAGCAATTAGTGAAGCCTTCCTGATCCACCCTTGTCAGGGCTTGGCACAAACCCCAACAAACATTGGCTTAAAAAAACAACAGGACCCAGTCATTAGACCCCTACAGCGAGCTCCTGGTGTAGGTATGGAAGACTGGAAAGGTGAGGCCACTTGCCTGAGGTACCAAACAATTCAGATCAGCCTGCAATGAGAGCTGGGGCTTTTAGTGGCCACATCACTTGGGTATCAAAGTGACTGATGTTCTCCAAGGGGGTGGGAGAGGATTTTCCTCTTCCTGGGGTCCCATGACAAGGAAGTGATGGGGCAAGGTCTGGGTTCAGATAATAACTGGATCAGAACTGCAAGCTTTTTTCCCAAAAACCCAT